TGTTCTTTTCCTGGGTTTCCATATCAACTCCTTTCTGTTGATTCTTCAACTTGTGTCTTTAAACATAAAATCCATCAAGAGAAACATTCAGAGACTGTTGTCCTCTCAACATATCCCCCTTCATGATTTAGTGTGAATAATCGGACTCCTGTCAGCAGGGCCAGACTGGGAGAAAAATTTGGCCCGGTCATTTTTTTATCACAGCGGCCCACTAAGAAGGAGGCGGGGCAGAGAGGGTGTGGTTCGTCATCACCAATGACAAACACGCCCCCTCTCAAAGTGAGCATGTTGGTTCAATGCTCTTCCAGGGCAGACAATGTGCAGAACTCTGCTAAAGAACTCTAGCATGAGGGAAAAAAGCCCTGTATTTGTTCTGCACAGTGCAAGCAAATTTAATAACATGCTTGCACTGTGTTTCCTTGCAACTTGTCTCTGGTATCTCTATAAATGGATACCAGGAGACAAAAGGGCCAGGAAAGAGTATTGTGCATGTGTTTGGAGCCTGCTTGTGGGATTGCGTGTGTGTAGAGTGAGCTGATTGTGGTGTGGTATTGTGTAATAAGGTTGGTTTTAGTCGTGTTGTGTTTTTGGTGTAATGTAATGCATATGTGGCTAGGGGCTGTAGAGAATGTGTGTATAGTAGATGTAGTAAGTGTGTGCATACAGGCTATAATGTGTGTGTGTGTGTGTGTGTGTGTGTGTGTAGGTGATGTAGTGTTTGTAAGGGTTGTAGAGAGTGTGTGTTTAGGGGTGTAGTATGTGTTAGTTTACAATGAATCTAGTGTGTTTATAAGGGATCCAGAGTGTGTATTTTAGGAATGTAGTGTGTGTGTGTAGGTGGTGCAGTGTGTGTATACAGGAGTCTAGTGTGTGTTTGAAGGACCCAGAATGTGTAGGAGATCTAGTGAGTGTGTGTATATAAGGATTCAAAGTGTATATAAAGATCTAGTGTGTGTATATGATCCAGAGTTGGGTAAGGGATCTAGTGTGTGTCTGGAACGTAATGTGTTTAGGAGTGCAGTATGTGTTTGAGGGGTGCTGTGTGTGATGTGTGGGGGCTGTGTGTGATGTGTGTGGGTGCTGTGTGTGAGGGTGCTGTTCCCCACACACACAAACCATAAGTATCCAGGTCAGAAATAGGCATACACAACATCATTCGCATTATGACCTACACACAATATCGCAAGCATCTTCCCTCCAAACATGCAACCTCACAAGCAGCCTCCAAAATCATAAGCCGCCTCCCTATACACACACATACATCTCATCTCTCATAATCCTGTCGTACTTTTGTACACTGATTTTCCACTTATTTTGACACAATAGAAAAGTCCCCAGCAAACATAGAACAAACATGGTGTTACATTTTCTTGCACTGTGTTAAACAAACACAGGGAATATTTTTCATATATCTGAGCTTTTCAGCAGGGCTCTGTGCATGAGCTTCCCTCGAGGGGCATCAAACTGACATGCACACTTTGAAACACCCCCTTCCTCACTAGCTCCACCCCTAACCACCACATTCCATATTGGGCTGCTCTGCCTGTAAGCATCCAGGATTATTTTTTGTCCCAGTATTGAGGATATAGCATGCTGTCCTAATGTGTGACCTTTGTTTTACAGTCCATAGTAATTTCTCTGTTGCTGTTTTCTGGGACACAGGAGAAAATGAATCAATTTTAGCAAAGCACAAATATATAGTTTTGCTTGAAAGGATAAGCCCAGGCATGTTAGAGATAGCAAGATATAATTGGGTGCTAATGTTTTCTACTCTGTTATTTTGGTATAAATTTTGGTTGGTTTTCACAAGAACTGTGTTTGGTTGATAAATTCCAAAGGGGATCATGCTGTGTTTGAAATAGCATCTTTATTTATGCATGGTATAACTTGTAGAAATTGAGAAAAACCCCCTGCTGTTGAAGCCACAAAGACTCATAACAAATTAAAAAGAAAGAATCAGTGCACAACTATACCTAGAGTCAAAAGTCATTTTATTTCTATTTTATAGTCACTTGCTCTACAAATATTTTACAAATTCCAATAAAGTACTGCTGCCATTTGGAAAATCTCGTATTCTTAGTCTTTAAAACTAAACACCATGCAGTGAGGAACAAAATCGAAATTTGAGGTTTTCCTTATTCTGTTTTGAAGTGGTCATTGCTCTTCTAACCATCTTGACAATGAAACAAGGTCCCAAAGAAGTTTTAGTAAAACTTATTTCTTCCATATGTACAAATGTATTCCTTCACATGCCAGGCATGCTATGTGAGTAGAGAGTGTGTTTTTAAATATAAAATTAAATTCATTTTCGGCTTGGAAGGTTAACTGTTTAAAAAGATGGTTAGGAACTAAATGTGTGATTTGTCAATGCAGCTATCAAATTTGGTTGTGTTCCTTAAACAAATACGGCACTGTAGGCACTGTAACTGCTTCAACTCATTGAAGTGGCCTTAGTGATCAGAGTCGCTTGGTGCAATGCTTCCATTCAGCGTAAAAACATTTAAGGCAATTGTTTTGTGTAACAGTACTGGTTGGAAAGCGAAGAGTAAACTGGTCTCTCTCAGAGAATTTTGTCATAAACCTCCAAAACATAATAGAAACATAGAAAACATAGAAACATAGAATGTGACGGCAGATAAGAACCATTCGGCCCATCTAGTCTGCCCAATTTTCTAAATACTTTCATTAGTCCCTAGCCTTATCTTATAGTTAGATAGCCTTATGCCTATCCCATGCATGCTTAAACTCCTTCACTGTGTTAACCTCTACCACTTCAGCTGGAAGGCTATTCCATGCATCCACTACCCTCTCAGTAAAGTAATACTTCCTGGTATTATTTTTAAACCTTTGCCCCTCTAATTTAAGACTATGTCCTCTTGTTGTGGTAGTTTTTCTTCTTTTAAATATAGTCTCCTCCTTTACTGTGTTGATAGCATTCCTATGATGATATAATATTAGTTATGTATTACTTATGAAAACACATATTTTTGTAGATAAAATGACATGACCCATGTAGTAAGCTAATTTTGTATCTAGAAATAGAAGCTTAGTCTTGATCTGTTTCCTGCTCAGGGCAGAAGTTATGTCCTTCTGAAAATTGAATTCTACCACTGCATGAGTTTCTACCATCTAAGTTATAAGGCTCTTTGACATCTTTTATATTAAATACAAATATAAATAAATAATAATTTTCCCAGCAAATGTACCTCCAACTACCGGTTACATCCTGGTTTAATCCTCTTTCTACAGAGAATGTTTTGCTAAATCCCTTGAGATATTTGTAAATGTAATACATTAAAAAGAACATCAGTAAAACGTTTTCTTTTTTAAAATTACAAATATTCAACACAGACATACTTGAAAAAGTCATTAAATATTTACATTTCAAATACATTTTCACTTTGCATTTACATTTATAAGAACTTTCCAAATATACATAGCAGGAAATAAATCAAAAGGAAATCCTTTAATCACCCACAAAATGAAAAATACTGCTCCATCATGGTATAATATTATTATTATTATTACTACCATTTATATAGCGCCAAAAGATTCCGTAGCGCTTTACAATAATATGAGAGGGGGGATTTAACTATAAATAGGACAATTACAAGAAAACTTACAGGAACGATAGGTTGAAAAGGACCCTGCTCAAACGAGCTTCCAGTCTATAGGAGGTGGGGGATAAAACATATTAGGACAGGAAATATCAAGTAAATAGGTGGGAGTGAAGCAGAGCTGGAGGAGAGAGTAAAGTGCTGCCCTAAAGGAGAGAGCAGGAGACAGGTATGTAAGGTAGAGGTTACTCTGGGAGGCCATAAGCTTTCCTAAAGAGATGAGTTTTAAGACACTTCTTAATCGATTGAAGACTAGGGGAGAGTCTGATGGTGGTAGGCAGGCTATTCCATAGGAGGGGAGCCGCCCTCGAGAAGTCCTGCAAGTGTGAGTTGGCCGTACGGGTGTAAGCAGAGGACAGGAGAAGGCCACACGCAGAGTGGAGAGACCGAGAAGGGGCATACCTATGGATCTGTGAAGAGATATAAGAGGGGCTTTCAATGCTTTATAGGTATGGGTTAGCACTTTGAATTGACTTCTATAGGATACAGGAAGCCAATGTAAGGACTAACAGAGGGGTGAGGTGTGAGAGGACAGACTAGAGAGGAAAATCAGTCTGGCAGCAGCGTTCATTACAGATTGTAGTGGGGCAATACGGCTTTTGGGAAGACCAATTAGAAGAGGGTTACAATAATCCTTGCGGGAAATTACGAGAGCATGGGCAGGCTCCTTGATAGCATCTTGAGTTAGAAAGGGGCAGATGTGGGCTATGTTTTTAAGATGGAATCTACAGGATTTGGCAACATACTGGATGTGAGGCTCAAAGGTGAGGCCAGAATCAAGTAATATAAAAATTAAATAATAAAAAATACTCATAACATAAATGTTGCAAGAAATGTTTATACTTCATAAACAGTAGCAATAACAAAATGTTTGCATAAGTATAGTCCTCCTCTTGCTTTGCTCCGGTACATAAAAATATGTCAAGAAATGCCTTTAATTTTCTTTGCAGAATATCTTGCTGCTTTAGAAAAATCAAACCACATAAATAATAACAGTCATGTTAAAATAAAACATTAAAAAAGAGTATGAAAACAATAATAAAAAAATAAAACAAAAATTATAATAACAATAATGCAAAATGATTTAAAAAATGAGAATATAATCACAATAATTTAAATAAAATGTATACCAATAAAGCAAAATACACAGTTGTAAATGTAAAAATGTCTCAAAATGTAACTTAATTGTAGCTATAATTTTCTTACAGTAAATAGTGAGTTGTGAGCACCTTGCTGGAACTGGAAACCTTTAATGTGTTTACTTAGTTTATGTTGCTGTGAAGCCCTGTGTGGCCTGCTCCACCCTTTCTTAACTACACATTGGGAGGAGCATGGAGTGAAGAAACCAAACTACCAATTAATCCAATTTAACAGTGAGGAACCATGTACAACATGCACTTAAAGCTGTATCCTGCTTAACAAGCAATGGAGGATCTGAAAAGAAACTTCTAATTACCATCCTTTCATTGTGATGCCTTATATATGCATGGATTAATCTCTCAAACTGGATTTCCACAGAGATAACTTCATCTTCAGTGAGTAATATTTGATCACAGGCCAGCAGCTGTTGGACAGAAGGAATTTCACATCACCATTTGGTAACCAGGAAAATGTTCTGGAGAAGCCATGTGAGGTAAGAATGTACTGTACATTTTCTTGACATTGGGGTAAAGCAAAATAATATTTTGAGGCAAAATACATTTAGATGAGGAATGAATATACAGTACCAGTTTTGTCCGACCAATCCTTTTTTAATCTTTCATCATATGTTTATTGTGTATTTTACGTTTATTCTCTTAAGTCTAATAAAATATTTATTCTTTCCTTAATGAGATAAATGGCTGATCTATATGTATATCTGTATGTAGATAGACAGATAGATAGACAGACAGACAGGATGTTATTTTATATTATGTAATGTTATATTTTAATTCCATGACTCACATTGGCCTATCTGTTTTCCCTAGATCTAAAACATAAGCTTTATTGCTAACAAAGCATTGTGTTAAGGTTTTCTTGTATAAATGTGCTATATTTGTCACCGCCTCTTCTGTTAGCAGGCTATTCTTTGCATCCACAACTCTTTAACTCTTCAAGTATGTCGTGGGGAGTATATACAAATGCGTTGCTATGCCAATGATATGAGACATGTATAGTGTGGCAGTATAGATTATATACATTTAATCAGTAATGATTTGAAGATAGATGGCTGGATTCTTAGGCCTGGTGGCAGTGTGTATTTAAAGCTTTTAGCTTGTATGATATTCAGTGCAGTTCATGGTACGGCATCACTTCATAATTTAGAGTATGAGACAATATAACATTTGGCGTTGTTCATAAATGTTTTTTTAACACTCTGGGAATCGACAGATTTGGATGTCAATTTCTCCATTCAAAATGTCAATTTCCAATTAGGAGAACTCTCAATGTGGAAAACAGATAGAGCTCCGAATGATGCAGAGAAAATGCGAAGAGAGAAACAGGGAGTGATTGGTATTGATGTTTGTTGAGACAGAATTACTCTGTTAAGCGGGTGGATAAAAACAATTAACTTTTCTGCCAAATCAACTGTGTTGTGCTCTCATGCTAATACTAATTGTTCCCAAGTTTTTTTAAGAACACTGTATGCAGAGCTGGGTTGATGATGGAGTTTTGCAATGACCTGTAAATATAGCCTTGGGCTTTTAAGATTTTCATTTTCACACATGAATGCACCAGTAAGAAACTGCTGCAAGTCTTTGGTTACTTTTCATTACATAACTCCTAGTTCAGGTGTTTTTGCCTTTGTTCACTGCATTCATCCAAAACCATCATTTTAAAGATTGCTTTTCCTATTTTTTTTTTTTTTTTTAATACTGATTAAATGTTAAATTCCAAACACTCTATTAGTTTATCATTACAGACAGGGTCTGGCATTTGTGATAGCTAATAATTGATGATCCTTGTAACACTGCAGTATCCGCTCTGTTCCTTATTGATGTTTAATCCCCCGGGGAAAATGTATTTGCAATATATGGTGTTTCACAGATCTTACATGATTAAAATCTTGTATGGCTAACAATAAATGCATGAACGGTATTACGCGTATGATGTGTGATTTCATACATTTTATAATTTTAAAAAATCAACATAGGAGTATGCATTTTGTATTCGGAAGGGATGGCTTTGCTTTTATTGTTTTTTTTATTTTTACACGTCCATATAAAATGCATAAAAATGTTTATTATAACGCTTGTTTATTCCACTGGGTTATTTGCAAGTGAATTACAAACCAAAATTGATAAAGATAGGCCATTATTCTTTTCACAGCTCACTGTGTTTACTTTTACAACTACTATTCCATTCTCACTTCAAACTGACCCACACTAACATCACAATTTATAATTAACTGGGTATCTGTGAAATGCTTAGGATGCCATTAACAGTCCATTTCCATCTTAGCAGTTGAACAACAGAGTTTATATTTTCTTGACTTATCAAGAATGCTTGTAAATAATGGCAGCAAAGATTCCATATCATTAGTGGGTATGCTTGAAATTCAACAAGGTTTTTCCCAGTAACAAGGTCACAAAGGCTTTCCTGATACTAAAAAAGATTACAAGTGTGTTATCATAATGAATCATGGCACTGGTGACAAAGATACTAAAGAAAGTGTTTTTCCTTTTTCTCCTAGGCTGACTGGAATTACTTTGACTTTGCTAATATTTCCTTTAATAAAAGGTAATAGCATTTTTGTTTTATATAATAGACTCTATTTTCTGTTAACGCATTTTAGAAGCTTACTTGTTTTTCATTTACAGGAAGTATAAAAGAGAATATTGACGCTTTTCAAAGCAGGAGGTTAAATTCGACTACAGAATATCCACCTATAAACAACAGCATGGGAATTGAGGCCTTTCTTAATTTAAGCAAAGGTAGTGGGGGCAGAAAGCCACAAAATGGAAGACCAATCATCCCTTTCACTGGACTTACAGACAGTAAGTATTAACAATGTATGATGTAGCCTTCTAACTAAAGGTCCACCTAAATTACTGGCAGGTCACCATGGTGTGAATGCAAGCCAGGCTACCTGCCTATCATCTAAGTTCATTCCACTGACTAATTCAGTGTTATCAGCACAATCCTAGTGCCCCGACTATAGCGCAGGCATGTCATATGATGAGTTCGCACTATGCTTATTGGGCTCAGTTCGTTGTGAAAATCGTAACTGTCCTTCCAAAATTGGGATAGTTTGGAGTCCTGAATTAGCGGATTTAAAATAAAACTGCCACATTTTTGTTGGTATCAATTCTTCTGAAGAAAAAAAAAAAAGGAAAAAATTGGCGGAAAAAAATACATTATTTTTTTCAGTTTTTTTCCAAAGCCATTTTTATATGGATTTTTTTTTTTTTTAAACATACATCATATATGCTAATGATGTACAATGATAAATAATATGTATATGACATGGTATTTATATATTTTAAACGTCCAATATTTCTAAAAACAATATAACATGAAAACTTTTAAGAAAGACTTTATGTTAAGTCTCAAATCATTTCAGTTCTGAACCCTGAAGAACAAATTCTGGAAAATAATGCAGGTATTAAAAAAAAAAAAAATTATGTCTCTAGGGGAACAGCAGGAAAAAGGTTTTACGTTTATTTTTGCCTGTGAGCTCCATCTTGTTGGTGTATGGATAGTTGATTGATTTGCTTCTCTCTCACAGTTTGGCTTACTAGGAAGGTACGAGTTTAAATTCATATGAATTCTGAAAATTAAATCATATTTTATCTGCATTAGTTTATCTTCATAACCTTTATCTAAATGATGAGTTGATTCTTACGAATGTTTGCTGCAAACCCTCCCCATCACAGCATGCAAGGTTGTTTACTAATGTGTGCATTTAAAATTAATTTCAAATTTTGTTGTTATTTTTCCCCTCCTTTAATTAAAAGGGTGAGACCATCATTCAGCATTTGGAAACATTTTTACAGCGCAATTTCTTCTGAGAAATAATAAATAATAAATACAATTTGCAAATACAGTCCAAAGAAATGTTTTTCCAAATACTACTAGGATGACAAGATACATGCTTGAATGCCAGAGGCGACCTAAAGACATTAAACTTAATGGAAGTAAATGAGAATAAATTAATCATATATGGAAGTATTATCCAATACTCCCCTTTGGGAAAACTCACTACAAAAGAACTATAGTTCTGTCATACTGAGAGGAAGCACTCCTTACTGTCATCTTGCCAGCCAGGGGGACTATCCTGTTTTATTAAAGTGCCTGCTCATGAAATAGTTTTATGCCTAAAGACAACCTCCTAAACACCTCTAAAGTCTTTCAGCAAGCAAATGTTTTAGGGGTCTGGAGTGTATAAAATTGTATTCCTAACACTATAGTGTATCTCTTCTCCCCCCAATTGACCCCCCCTGCCCCCACTCAGCAAATAAAGGGTTAAAACACTTTTTAAGTTTATCTGATTCCAGGGCACAAATTAGGCCTTCCCATAGGAAAGCATTGAATCAACAATTTCCTGTGAGGACTTAAAAGATACAATGCAAAGCATGAGGACATCCAACGCCATTTCACAGAGTTAAACTCAATGAAAAGATAGGAAGTGCCTCTGGTGGCTGTCTGTAGACAACAAATAGAGGCATACTTAACCCTGCAATGTAAACATTGCAATTTCTCTGAAACTTCAATGTTTGCAGTTGCTGTGCCAAAATGACAGGGATGCTGCACCCAGACCACTTCAATGAGATGAAATGGTCTGGGTGCTTATATTGTCCGTTTAATGGAAATTAGTGATTTCTCTTTGTTTGGTACTATGAATTAGTAGGTGGTTTAGAGAAGACAGTTTTTTATGTTGATGGTTTCTGTATTTTTATTGTTTATTTTTTTAGAATGGGGGTGCTAACTTTTCATATGTACAGGCAAAAGAGGTTCCTTATAATTCATGTTTTCTTATCATATCTGTCTATACCCTGTAGCTCCATTTGTAACAAAATGTTTCTAAAAAGCAAATGTACTTTATCATTTAGTGAATAAGCGGTACGTTTATGTTAAGCTTAATTTTATACACACTGCATGTTCCCAATTTAACAAGACAGCTTTCAACTTATTAAAGTACTACTGTACATTTCAAAAAGAAAACAAAAGCAATCAGACAATTTTAAGTTTTGTCCAGAAAAAAAAAATGGAAAAAATAAACTTTTTTTCCTATGGCTTTAAAACTACAGGAAATTTTACATCTCTAGGGGTGAGCTGTGCAGAGCATGTAATACAAAACATATTTGTCTCCACTACATTTCCAGGCATTCAGAGCTGAGATTTTGTATGTGCTCTGGGATTCAATAGGAGTAATAATATCTGTTGATTTGATGTAATTAGGATTTATTAATAGCATTGCTAATACTAATGCTTATGTTTTGCATTTTCCCAGAAATTTACTCTCAAATATAGGCATATATAATTTCCCTCTGTTTCGAAGTGTTAAAACTATTATATACATCTGCATTAATAAATTACTAAATTAATACAATTGTATATTTAAATATTTTACCAGGATATCAATACTAAAAAAATTCATTTTGCTTTTTTAAGTATGTAAATGCTAATTTAAATCCATGTGGGATCCCTGCAGGCACACTGGGTTGTTTTGTTTAGTTTTGTTTAGCTTTGCTTTCCTGCATTGCATCACTTTATTACTTTGCTTTCCACTAAAGCCTTTTGGACAGCATCAGTGATTTAATGATAAAACGTCTCCATGAATGGAGGCATCCTCACACTGCCGATCAATAAACTTGTAACAGTGTATATGTCATTAGTAAATTAGCCCAGGTTCATGTTCTGCTCCCAGACAGAATTCAAGAATTCTGGAGTCTCCATTGTGGGAGTTGCTGATCGCTAGTAGTTTTCCTTTAATCCTTATATAAACACTGTTTTAACTGAACAAACACCTCTAACAGCCAGATAATTTTATTGCTCTACAAAACCATAAATGGAAAGCTTTAATGATCTTTTGGTGACAAAAGTGAAAAGTTGAATTTTCTGTTGGTTGAGATAAGTGTGTCTGACTAACAATGTATTTGTTCTTTTTTTAAAGGTAGTAAACTCAACAGAAATTGCTGTAATAATGGAGGAACTTGTGTACTGGGAAGCTTTTGTGCATGTCCAAAGCATTTTTCTGGACGTTTTTGCGAATATGATGAAAGGAACAAGTAAGTCTGCTATAAAGGAATGTATCATTTATTTTTTTCATTCAGATAATGTGTCTCAGGATTTTTCTTTAGCAAAAGCTTTTAACTGACATGTAATTGGAATAAAAAAAATAAAAAAAATCCTATATGTACAAGGGACAATTTATACATTAAGTCACGTATACTCCATCTTCTATATACTTTTCTAAAGTGTTCCAGATCTTTTGAAATCTTCTAGCACAATAATGTAAAAATACACAGGCAAATGTAGACAAATAATATCGCCAAAAATAATTTCATTTGTTAGTTTTAAGTCATCTTGTAGTAAAATAGACTTGCAAATAATGTAAATATAGCTAACTATACCGATAGCTTATTAAACTTGTTTTTTTTCACATTAGGAATTGTGTTGGTAGAATCAAACATGGAGACTGGATTGTGAAAGGTTGTCAGTTGTGCAGATGCATGTATGGGTCTTTTCGCTGCTTAACACAAACTGGTTGTGGTAAGTTACTTTTTACTATATGAATGGAAAATAAAACTATACTATGTCCACCCGGTACTCTTTCTCTCCTGTTTAATTATAACTGTGTCATTTCTGTTTTTCTAGCTGTGATAACTCTGTGATATTTACTTTAGATTATGTCAAAACTCACTACTAAGAGATAAGTCTTATCAGTTGGCACTCATTCTGTCATGGCAGACACATTCAATGTGGCAGTTGTGTACATAACCTTTTGTAGTCAACTTACTGATTTTTTCCCTAAAGCCCTGCAAATATTATTTGCAAATACATCATTAACCCCTTCAATAGCAAGCCCCTTTTTGATTTTGTTTTTTTGTGTGTTTTTTTAATACTAGCATATATGTAGATAGTTAATACAATGTTAAAAAAAATCTGCACACCAGTCAAGCCATAAGACTTGCTTTTCCCACAGAAATCACAAATCTGCAGTGATGTTACTGCCGCAAAGGATTCTGGGTGGGAATATGCAAATTAGTTTAATAAAGAATCAAATTTTTGCCTCATTCCATTTTAAACATGGATTACTTGGAGTCTGTGTTTGCTGTATACAACAGCTTTCAAACACAATTTAGGAAAAGATGCAAAGCCAGTGAGTGGTTAAAAATAGAAAAAAGCCCTGCTTATATGCATTTGTACAGACTCTGATAATACTACTAGTTTACTTAAAATTACAACTGAATATAAGAAGAATACAAGCATTTGAGCATAATACCCACATGCTGTAAGTACAGGCACAGTTAAAATGACCAAGTTGTTTGCGAAGTGTTTTAGCAATCTGCATCAATCACTGTAACCTCTGTATAGGAACATTATAGGCACCCAGATCACTTTATCTTATTGAAGTGGTGTGGGTGCAGTGTCCCTATTCCCATAATCCTACAATGTAACATTAAAGGGTTAAAGTGGCACTGTTTCGCCCCCCCAATTCCCCGCGCTCCCCTCCCACACACACACACACACCAAATGAATATTTCATAAATGTAAAGTATTTACAGAGACAAAGAACGGACTACTAAGAACGGACTACTTCTAGACACTGAGTGGAGCTATCATTATCTAAAAGTGTAAAATCCCCAGACATCACCAGTAGTGATGTCCCAAACGGTTCGCCGAACGGTTCGCGAACGGTTCGCCACGAACTCCGGTCAGCAGACACATTCCAGCTAATCAGCAGCAGACCCTCCCTCCCAGACCCTCCCACCTCCTGGACAGCATTCATTTTGAAGCTGCATTCTTAGTGAGCTGTCCAGGAGGTGGGAGGGTCTGAGAGGGAGGGTCTGCTGCTGATTGGCTGGTATGTGTCTGCTGACTGGCGTCCGTGGCGAACCGTTCGTGGCGAACCGTGGTGAACCGTTCGGCGAACCGTTCGGGACATCACTAATCACCAGTGATGTGTGCATGAAATTGGCCCTGTTTGTGGATGACCCTCCATAGACATCAATGTTGTACGCTCACACAAAAGAGTACAACAGTGGCATTGGCAACTGGCGCTTCAGAAGAAGAACAGCCGGGAGAAGATGGCAGAGCCCCAAAGGGCAGGTTCAGGTAAGTTAAAGTCACCATTGCTAGCCCCCACATGCCACCGGATGCCCAGCAGCAATGTTACCATTGGGGGTCTTTTCAAATTATGCAAAATCCCCAGATGGTGACAGTGCCTTTTAAGACTGCCTCTAATGGCAGACAGCATGTCTCCAGGGGTTGCAAACACCACAAACAATTCTCCCTCAAAATCAGGCACTTCTCATTGATTCAGAGTATTGCTGTGGGTTATCATGGCAATGCTTTGACTCACTATTAAACCACTAGCCTGGAGTGGGAGGAAGAATGAACCTGTACCCATGGGAGGTGCAGTCTGCAATATCCACCACCGGACCACCAAAGTGAGAATTCCAGCTCCCATTACCAGCCAAAATTCTAATTTAAATTTAAAATAGCCAATTGGAAAAAAATTCAGTTTTACTATCAACCTTGATAGTAAAGATGTTAACAGGTTTGTTTGTAGTTTCTTTGACTGGCTGCTGCCAGGATGGGAATTAAAATCAGCTCACTTCAGAACTGGGTGCTTATCAAAAAGAATTGGCTGGTTAGCCAGGCATGAATGCATGTCAGGCTGCCCGCCAATTAAGCAGGCCAATCCATCAAGGGTTAAGCATGCAGAGCGTACGGTTTCAGTGTTCTCTGCATGGTCCTAGTGCCCTGAGCATACTCCAAACTAATGATGTGCTTGTGCTATGCCTTTTGAGGATAGTTTCCTGGTGTCTCCAAAAGTAGGACACAAGGGAACATGGTCAGGACAGTGCGACAGGACTCTAACATCAGTACTGTCCCACCAAAATTATAAATGTTTGGAGGCCTGATCAGCTGACACTCTTGGCCAATGCATAGCAAGGTTTAGCTCAGGAGAGCTAACTGAAGTTCCCAAGGAGTGTCTGGCTCTCCTGGTAGCTGAAAGGAGGCAGGCCGAATGTTCCACATGCCCATGCTGCTCTCCTCTTCAGTTCACATGGACCAAACGCTACACACGGCCGCATTACCTGAAACAGCATATCTCTATACTTACAACCAACAAACCACTCCTCCCATTGGTTTGCACCTGCTGAATGGAATATAGACGCTGTTTTCCTAAATTCCTTTGGATGCTGCCCGCTGTAATGCTGCACTTTTTATATTTGAATAGCATGAAGTCAAGTCACCGTTAACATCAACGTCATTCAATCATTTTGCAATCGCAAAGATGACGTGGACCAATCAGAACATGTGTTAGCCTATATAATGCTAATTCAGTACCCTATTGTGGTTGCTGCATTGATACACGTTTAGGGCTCTTAGTAGCTCTCTTGATATTCTGATATTGACCTTGGCTTGTACTTGACTTTAAATATTTCTGGAATCCTGACCCCGCTTGTTTATTCATATATTTGTATTTATATAACCCCGACTGTGTCTATTTCTGACCTTGTATCTATCTTCATTAGCTTTAACTCCAGGCACTCTATTTGTGGGATTCATCATTTCCTGTTAGGTATGACCACATCACTCAGGGATTCAAAATCATCTTTACTTCTTAGATCCAAAGGCCTCATATCAAAGGCTAACTATCAATGTGCAAGCAAGTGTACACTAAAAGACTGTAGCACTAGGTCTAATATGGCAATTTGTTCTCCCTTAACATTTCTACGTGGTAACTTAATGTTCTTCAGTGTATTCCTACAAGATATGAAAGAGAAATAAGGAACATTTAGGAGGGCTAAAGAAGAGAGTAAAGGGTGGGAGGGCATCTCCTTTTCCAGAGCTTCTCCCTATTCATTCCATACCTCTTCCTTATCCTCTAGCTCAGTGGTTCCCAAACCAGCCCTCATGGCCCACCAACAGTCCAGGATTTATGTGTTTCTCTGTTTTATTCCAATGGAGATACTGACAAAACTTGGACTGTTTGTGGGTCTTTAGGACTGGTTAGGGAAACACTGCTCCTGATCCATTAATGAAGAGTTGGCGCTTCAGACTGCCTCCATATCGATGGTGTAAGGGGGCTTTTGCTGAGATTAATGGATGATTTGTGAGCATTTTTTTTATTGGGATATGGGAGCTTTTGTATGGTGCAATAGTATTGGTAATGGTTAAAATGGGAGATCTGTGTCAATAATCTCTGTTTTGAATTAATCAGTTTTCAGTCTGGGCTATCTTTGAGCAAGACCACCAAACATGTATCTTTGAGCAAGACCACCAAATCACTTCTTACCTGCATTTCCAGCAGATATCAGTGACCTCCTGTACAGATATGGCACAGTATATCTGGTGTTCTATACCAACATGTCAGCCATTTATAGTTTAATTTCTGTATCTTAGAGCAAATCGGATTTTGGTGTGAGAGTACAAACATTTTCTCCCATTGTCACTGAGAACCAATCACACTTTGTTCTCCCACTTAGAAACAAACCCTGAAGGCATATGCGGGGCAGAGGTCAATATCATTGAACTGAACTGAAATTGGAGATTTTTATCGGGATTGTCTGAAAATGGTATAGCAGCCTTAGCAGCAGATTCATCTTAAGGGTATTACACCTTCCAAACCAAGTTATATTATGTCCAGAACATCTGGTCATTTCCGCAGAGAGTGTTTGCAGCAAGGGGCTAAAATAATCTTGATACAAATGTATCAAGTCCACTGTCAGCCAAATCTCTATGTGATACCCCCATCCGGCAGCTCTAGAGTGAGGACAGACAGGAGGTAGAACAGAGGAAATGTCTGTCTTGTGCTGTTTCAAATCTGTATGGGGGAGAAAGTACTTTGTTGATCCTTATATGAGCACAGGTAGTTGTGTAAAGTGCTGCTCTCCAGTGGCGTACCAAGGGGGTGGGAAGGGGAGCGGGGGGGTGTGTGTGTGTGACTGTCTGCCTGCTACTTTGTGTGACTGTCTGCCTGCGACTGTAAGTGTGATTGTCTGCATGTGACTGTGTGTGTGTGTGTGTGAGTGTGTTTGTGTGACTGTCTGCATGTGACTGTGTGTGTGACTGTCTGCCTGTAACTTTGTGTGACTGTCTGCCTGTGATTGTTTGTGTGTGTGTGTGTGTATGTCACTGTCTGCCTGTGACTGTGTGATGCTGCCTGTAACTGTGTGTGTGACTGTGTGTGTGTGTATGTGTGTGTGTGTGTGTGAGTGAATGTCTGCCCCTAACTGTGTGTGTATGTGTGACTCTCTGCCTGTAACTGTCTGTGTGTGCCAGTGTGTGTGTGTGTGTGTGTGTAACTGTCTGCTTGTGACTGTATGTGTAACTGTCTGCCTGTGATTGTGTGATGCTGCCTGTAACTGTGTGTGTGACTGTCTGTCTGTGACTGTGTGTGACTGTCTGCCCGTAACTGTGTGTGATTGTCTGCCTGTAACTGTGTGTGTTAAGGGGGTGCAGGGGTTTTGTATTGGGATAGGGGTCTTGTATATGGAGGGCTGAGAAGGGGATTTGTGGAAGGGTGGTGCAGGGGTTTTGTTGAAGGGGGCAGTACAGGGGTTTGTAGAAGGGGGAACTACAGGTGTTTGTAGAAGGGGGCAGTACAGGGTTTGTAGAAGGGGGGGCAAGACAGGGGTTTTATAAGAGGGGGGCTGTTTCAGGACAGGGGTTTTGTAGAAGGGGGCTGACAGGGGTTTTACAAAGTTTTCAAATTTGTGCAATATATAAAAATATAAAATAAATGCAACATTTTTAAAATTTTGCGGGTGTTTTTAAAACATGTTTGGAGGGGGGGAGAGGGGTGACGGGTGCCAAACACAGGATCTTCCCCAGGTTCCAATTGCTCTAGGTACAGGTGCTGCTATCCAACTGCGTATGTTAGGTCCAAAACCCATGTGTTCAAGGGTGAGTGCCATATAACTCCAGTTCACCCAGTCAAATGCTTTTTCTGCATCTGTGGAGTGAAGAAATTGGCTCTTGTCCTGAATTTAGGGCCATAACACTTTATTTTTAACATTCACACCACCACCTATGATGTGAAATAAAAAGAGCCATTTCACTGGATCATTCTTGTTAATATGGATTATTGTGAACACTTATTATTTTGCACTAATCAACTAACACGAAATGGGCTATTAATTACTTGATTATTAATCCTTTTGTAAACCTGATTAAAGTGTACAGTTTTAGTGCACACTATGCATTTATATTCATAATTTGTTCTGTTTTTTATATAATTCTGCAGATGCTACGGAAGAAGACATAGAGTCAGAATTAGATTCAAGTGGAGCAGATTTACAGTCATCAGTTTATTTATTTGTACTCAAAATTCTTTTTATTTTTAGTAATGTGTTATTTTGCCAATGACAGTTCAAATAGACAAATTATATAAGCCTGTTGATGTTCAAAAAAAAGAAAAAAAGAAAAAGCACTGTACTTTTTACAGGAAATATTGTACCCATGCATGCTAGTGGGAAAACATGCACACAATTCACTGTAATTAAATCCTATAAAATCTTCCTATGGAAGGATGGAACATTTTAATATTTATTATATATATAAATTAATTATAAACTAATATAAACTATGTATTCTTCTTTTATTTAAAGAATGTCAAATATTAGTGTATTTCCGACTTGTGAATTTTTATTAAAACAAATTTGAAAATCTTTTTATTGATATATTTATTTATTTTTTTGCAGAAAGTATATGCACACAAGTGTTTGTAACATTTGAATCCTTCATTTCAATCAGATGCTTCCTGTGTTTTACAGTGTGAAACGGCATTATTAAAGTTACGGAAAGTCTAGAAATATTAGTTACATTAAAATAGTTGTAACAGTACCTTACAGTGTGACTGTGTGTTTACTTTTTCAATCAGGATGTTATCTTGAACAAAAGGAGACACTAGGATCTGTGCCTCCGAAAACAACTGGATTTGTCTCAACTGAAAGGAATACCTTGGTAACAAAAAACAGAACTGCCAGGTTATTTGACCTTTGAGTGAACTGGAACTTTTTTAGTCTCCTGGATCTAAAGGTCTCTTTGACACTTGTATAAGATGTGTAAACTTTCACCAGTGTGTCATTGAAAAACAAAATGACCTTTGTAGTTAACATAGCCAATATTTTGTTGTAAAACCTGGCTTAACAGTTCAATTACTGGCCAGTGCTCCCTCCTGTGACTAATCAACATGACCTCCACTCCACCATGGTTTATATGTTAGAGGTATGTAAATGATTTAGGAACAAAGTAAATAGAATGTTTGCATTCACTTAACATAAAGACAGATATCTTAACTCTAATTATTATATACACTACATCGAAAATGAATAATGATGCATATATGTGTTACACGGCTCTCCAATTTAGCTGTATATAATACAAATACTTCAACTACTCAGATTGAAACTCTGTTTGCCAGACACTTCAGTTTACGTCAACAATGAGCAAGATTATCGCTTAGCAACAAATATAACCAGTTTAATGCCAGTGTTTTTGCGAAGAGTTTCTACAAAGATTAAATGCATAGTATAAAAAAATCATAGATATTGAATGCTCGCTTTTACTGCATTTAATTAAAAAATTATTAAACATATATTAAAGGTCAGCTCCTACCCACACACATCAGCAAATGGTTGCAACAAATAGTTGATCACTCAGTAGTTTTGATTGATGCCAGTGGATAACAGTCCATCATTATGATCATAATAAATAATCCAAAAGAGGTTAGTGTAGCACATCCTCTGTATGTAAGTTATATGATCTGGAATCCAACAACAAAGTCATAATCTTTACCCTATTCATATTTGGCATGTAATATGACTCCTACAGATCCAATGAGAGCCATT